TTAGTTCTGGAATTTATTTTCATTTAATTTTTTCCACCTTCTTTCCTCAATTGCGATTGATCGAAAATCAATTTTAAAATCGTCATGACAATGTAGACCACTGAAAACGTTTCAAGGCAAATAAAACAAGTGGATTTTTCCGTACCCTGTTTTTTCTTGAATACTTTCTTCTTTTGACTTCGTTGTCGTGTGTTTTCTCTATGTTTAAGAACGCCATTCTCTTCAAGTGCTTGTGGTCCTTTTGGCACGATCCTGTAACAGTATATAACTTTTGATGGAGCTTTTTTATGAGAATATGTTTCCCATTTGATTACAATTTTTACTTCATGTCATGAATACTCATAGCGATACAGTTTCATTACCATGCTATACCTGTATTGTGTTCCAAATGAATAGAGTACATTGGAAGCAACGATCGCTAATTCACTTTAAGCAATTTATCAATTTTAAATTCTTAAATATCAGGAGTTATCATACTCAATCAGGGATTAGATTGGCCTCATAAATGCTCAAGAGTTTTAAATGAAACTACAATGCAATACAATACCAAACAATACAATATAATGCAATACAATGCAACTGCAGTGCAATATGATTAGGATATCCCATGATTTTGATTTTCTCATTTTCATCCACGAGTTGATATCAATATCTGGACGAGTGAGTGTAGATATCCACGATCTCACTTTTTTCCACGCATTTGCAAATTATCATAAATATATATACGTGTTATTCATGGATTAGTGAGTTTAATTATCAACAGCATGAACCTGTGCGCAATGTAGACATTGCTCATGCTTATACCAGAATGAAGGTTCGATGTCTTACACATATTCCTTAAATATCCATGGCGGGATATGTCTCGTAGAAAAAGATATCAATATCCGGATCTGGGATATTCATAAAATTGAAAATCCTTAAATATCTGGAGCAAAAATACGACTTGGATGAGTAATGCCACGTATCCAGGAATATTATTTCCAAACTACTCCCGTATACTCGATGAAGCAGGATACTCCCGTATTCGTCAGGATTCGCGGCAAATCCGGAAGAATGAATACTTTATGATATTGTAGGATATTAATCCATTTTTCGCTGTGGATGTACCGATTTAACAATATCTACATCCTTCAGCATCTCAAGTGGTAAAAGGGCTATATGTTTTTTTTTTCTTGACTGGTATGCACTTAGAGTTTGCTTTTTCTTGCTAAGTTCCATTACCACTTTTGGTCCTTTCCCTTTGGCACTTGTGCTTATATATTGAACTGATGTAACTCACGTTAATGCGCTTTAAACTCAAGCCCCAATATCTGTGATATCTTAACACTTGTGACAACACATCACCTTAACATATCATATGTCATACCGTAGCACCTTAACACCTTTTATGCTACAGCTCCTTAATACTGTAATGCAACAGTACCTTAATGCCACAGTACCTTAATGCATGCAAAACAGAACAGTATTCAATGCTGAAGAAGAATCATCTACCAGCTGACAAAACACCAAACGACGTCCAGTGTCTTTACGGCGAACAAATACCATCAGGGGCATTTATCATAGGGATTTATCATAACTATTCACTACAGAGCTTTTAAACACATAATATAGCTCATGAGCAGATATGCCACTATTTGTCACCTTGACATTTCAATAGTAGCTGTACAAGCCACTTTGTTATGTTACACAAAATAATGTTTTAACCTTGAGTGTGCCACCTTTGCAGAGGCTATAAGACCAATCATTGCATTTTTCACCGCTTTCTTGGTTTGCCTTCTTTTGATATGTTCCTCTTTTTACATTTGAGATGCTGAGTTTTTTCCACTCTTCACGGCGCACATTGATGCAAATGTACCATCCATCTTGTTGCTCTTCCGCATGGGAATGTTTCGTATTATGTCACTATTTGTCACCTTGACATTTTAATAGTAACTGTACAAGCCACTTTGAAGCTTACTATGGGTAAATCAGAACACATTCCCAACATGACATGAACCTTTAAACCCCATCAATTTTTCCCAACTACTTTGCTAATTTGACTATGCTTGGCTGATAGAGGAAATCTAAAGTGTAAAGTGGAAATCCCACCCACAGTCAGCCACAGTCTCTGAAGCACTTCTATCTGCACGAAAGCACCAAAGATGTCAAGGATAATCACACGTCGACCACCTGGATGAGCCCCCAATGTAATCACACGTCGACCACCTGGATGAGCCCCCAATGTAATATTTTCTTAAGCCTCTTATGTTACACAAAATAATGTTTTAAGCTTGAGCCTGCTGCTGGCGTACGCCTTTGCCGAGGGTAAAAGACCAATCATTGCATTTTTCAACCGCTTTCTTGGTTTGCCTTCTTTTGATCCGTTCCTCTTTTTACATTTAAGATGTTAAGTTTTTTTCCACTCTTCACGGCGCACATTGATGCAAATGTACCATCCATCTTGTTGCTCTTCCGCATGGGAATGTTTCGTATTATGTAGTTTGTTTTTACTATGTTGTCCTGTGAATTGTTTAAAGGATGCCTCATAATATTTTTGTTTTGTATATAAGGCGTAATGTTTCGATTCCATTTTAAGGTCATTGTGTATGTTATTGTATTGCCGAACAAACGTCTTACATTTGTCATGCAACTGCTTTACATCATTTCTGTCATTGAAAGTTTGGACTAAAGTAGAATACAATTCAGTGAATAGAGTCCAAAGAGCATGTAGCTGCCTTGTAGCTGCCTTGTAGCCTCTTTGTCCATTAGTTTGTCAAAATGTTCTGGGAGTCTGCAGTGTGCATTTCATTTAAATACCCATTAGTGATGTGAAATCATAAGTTCCCGACAAACTATTGTTGGCATTCTTTTGTCCCATATTTTAAAAGTAACTCCAATGGATCTTATGATATCCTCGAGCTTCGTTAGCTTACTTGTTCCTGTGCTTTTTTTCAATTTATGCTTTTTGCTGTCTTCAGTTGTGACAAATGTCACCATATTCTTGACAGGGTAACCTCCAATCTTGTTCTTCAGGTAAATCTTCACTACTGTTTATTTTAGACAATAACTTTGTGATGAGTTCCTTGTCACAAAAGCCTTGGACTCTCCCAGAGCCTAATACATGTCACAATATAAGGCACAAGATTTGAGAGAAATCAGAAGGATTATCAAATGTTTGTGATGTATTTGTAATGTCTACACAATCATTGCAAATTCTAAAATCATTACAATTGTTCAATATTTCTTATATCCTTTTTAACATTATTAAATTGAAAACACATGCCACTTAAAGCAGGTACAACGTATGTGTGTTTACTTACATACTATTTCTACACTACCCTCATTATAAAACATCATCATTCCCTGCACACCTGTTCTGGTGTGTAGCTCATTGACCTAAATAAAAAATTATTAGTGTAGAAAATTCAATCGAATAGCCATGGCTGCCATTTTTACCAAATCCTTATACTAATTTTTCAGTTATAGCAAATCGTAATATAACACACATAAAAATGGCTATATAATATAATATATATTTATATTAGAACAAATAAGGCATAAGTGATTTTACCAACAATAAAGCAAGTGGGGTCCTGAACAAATTGGCATTTTAAAGAAGCTTGCACCTAAAAAATCTTAATTGCATCCACTTGAAAATCAGAAAATCAAGAAAATGAGTTTTACATTCACTTGTTCAAGCCTTTTTCAAAATCTTGGGTGGGTGCTTCTGCCACTTTTGGGGATAAATTTGTATTACATATGAATATAGTGGCTCAATTGCTCTGCCCTAGGGTAACTACCATGTCTACCTAATAGCAACAATAACTCACTTTTTTTCAGTTGAGCAATTTTATGTTTTGCAAAATGCTTTCTCTTCTTGCTATTAGTCATAAACTGGCCTTTGAACTTCCCTGCCTGTAAACAGCAATACATCATAAATTCATGAAGGTTCAACTACATATGACATATTTTAGGATATCCTTGAGGATTTATGCTTGAGGATTTATCCTTGAGGATTTATGCCTCAAAATTTGACGGGGGACATGATATACAAAAGCATGCATATAAGGAGTAATGTTTCTTTTGGCAAATCCTTCCATTTTGAGGTCATTGTGTATGTTATTATATTGCCGAACAAACGTCTTACATTTGTCATGAAACTGCTTTACATCATTTCTGTCATTGAAAGTTTGGGCTAAAGTAGAATACAAATTAGTGAATAGAGTCCAAAGAGCATGTAGCTGCCTTGCAGCCTCTTTGTCCATTAGTTTGTCAAAATGTTCTGGGAGTCTTCAGTGTGCATTTCATTTAAATACCCATTAGTGATGTGAAATCATAAGTTCCCGACAAACTATTGTTGGCATTCTTTTTGTCCCATATTTTAAAAGTAACTCCAATGGATCTTATGATATCCTCGAGCTTCGTTAGCTTACTTGTTCCTGTGCTTTTTTTCAATTTATGCTTTTTGCTGTCTTCAGTTGTGACAAATGTCACCATATTCTTGACAGGGTAACCTCCAATCTTGTTCTTCAGGTAAATCTTCACTACTGTTTATTTTAGACAATAACTTTGTGATGAGTTCCTTGTCACAAAAGCCTTGGACTCTCCCAGAACCTTAAACATCAGCTGCCTTATTTTATCCTAATACATGTCACAATATAAGGCACAAAATATGAGAGAAATCAGAAGGATTATCAAATGTTTGTGATGTATTTGTAATGTCTACACAATCATTGCAAGTCCATTTTCAAGCCAAAAATCATTACAATTGTTCAATATTTCTTATATCCTTTTTAACATTATTAAATTGAAAACACATGCCACTTAAAGCAGGTACAACGTATGTGTGTTTACTTACATACTATTTCTACACTGCCCTCATTATGAAACATCATTCCCTGCACACCTGTTCTGGTGTGTAGTTCCTTGACCTAAATAAAAAATTATTAGTTCAGAAAATTCCATCGAATAGCCATGGCTGCCATTTTTACAAAAATCCTTATACTAATTTTTCAGTTATAGCAAATCATAATATATCACACATAAAAATTGCTATATAATATATATTTATATTAGAACAAACAAGACGTAAGTGATTTTACCACCAATAAACCAAGTGGGGGCCTGAACAAATTGGCATTTTAAAGAGGCTTGCACCTAAAAAAATTAATTGCATCCACTTGAAAATCAGAAAATCAAGAAAATGAATTTTACTTTCACTTGTTCAAGCCTTTTTCATCAAAATCTTGGGTGGGTACTGCGGTCACTTTTTGGGATAAATTGGGATTACATCTACCAAATAGCAAAAGTAAATCACTTCTATCTTCAATTGAGCAATTTTGTGTTTTGCAAAATGCTTCCTCTTCTTGCTATCAGTCATAAACTGGCCTTTGAACTTCCCTGCCTGTAAACAGCAATACATCATAAATTCATGAAGGTTCAACTACATATGACATATGTTTAAAGAATTATGCCTCAACATTTGACAGGGGACATGATATACAAAAGCATGCATATAAGGAGTAATGTTTCGTTTGGCAAATCCTTCCATTTTGAGGTCATTGTGTATGTTATTATATTGCCGAACAAATGTCTTACATGTGTCATGCTGTCTTTATTTGTGACATATGTCACCATATTCTTGACAGGGCAACCTCCAATCTTCAATAACAAGTGTATCTCATCCAACACTATGTTATCTAAGCTGACATTAAGGAGTTGTAATTCAGTTTGTGAGTCAGGGCACGATCCGATGTTGCGTTCTAAGTTATGTTCGTAATAGTCCATATCGTTTGACATATTCCATCACTCATTCTTATGTACAATACAATAGAGACATCGCCTCTGACAAACCCATAGTGGAGAGTATAAACTTGTAGTCTCCACCAAGGACTATTTTCAACGAAATGAAACTGTAAAATTAGAGTACTCATTTGCTGTCTCAAGTGCTAGACGTATGTTCCTCTTCGTATTTTTACTATTTTTCTCTTCTAGAACGTGTGAAATGTCAAGATTTGTGACATTCATCAATCTTTTCTGTTCGTCTGCCATCTTGACTAAATGTACATGTGACGTCATCGGTGAACAGCATTCCCTACATGCTGTACAGAAAGCACTGTACAAATAAACAGACACTTCTGGCATACAATAATTTACCAATCAGAATCGAGTATTTGTACTGAAGTACTTACAAAATAGAATGTAAACAGTTTAAGGGAGTTTTATATTGTTTTGAACTGATAGAATAGAATATATCCCTCCATCCCTCCATGTATTTTTGTGCCCTGACACACAGAACTAGTAACGAATATGTACAATATACAACAACTTCATTATAACATCAAGATCTTCAAGGTGTGTGTGTGTGCCTCTTGTTATGAGTAACTCTAATCCAAAAGGGATCAACAGGGTATCATACTGGAGTGTAATAATGATGTTCAACGATGATTGGATAGTTATCTGCCCAATGACACAATCTGAGGCACACACCGGTTCATGGTTGACATACATATAGATAAAGTGAACAATGACCGGGCCATGTGTTCCACACTGCCCCCTAGACTTGACCACTCCGGGGTCAAGGTCACGTACAAAATATTATCAATTATGAAATTAAATGAGAGTCCATGTCTGGCAATACGGTTGTAGAAAATATAAGATTGTTTAATGATCATAGTCCTACGGAAGCGGCATACACTGTCATCACTCATCAAATTGTTGATTGCCTTATTTGTCATTTTGTTTTAGGTTGGTATGATATAAAGCTTATAATTATGCTGGAGTCTTTTCTTTAATCTTATCCAACAAATCTTGCATTCTTATCTTGGAGGGTTCTTGGTTTTGAAGTCACTATATAACTCCAGATTGAAGAATCACAGTTTCCATGTTGTAATCTTCCCCATCAAGCATTATTTCTGCATAATGACATAATTTCTGACATTTCATCACTATCAGCTGTGAGAGCTGTAAGTCCTTTGCATTCAACTTGTCTTTTTACAAGTGTTGTTAACATTTAGAATTGTCCAACCCCTTCTTAGCTTGATCTGATTCAGATCTTACATACATTTACTCCAAATAAAGTAACAGCTGTATGGAAAAGGATAAAGCATTGTTGGTCATTATGCTTAGCTACTGAGCCAATGTACAGCCAAAGTTCTTTTGTGTGTTTCAGTCTGTTGAAATGGTGTAGTGCAAGAACTACAATATCAGAATCTTTAGTTTGATGATTATGCATCCTTTGATAAATAGTGAATGGTTGCCATATTATCAAAGGACCTGATAATGATAACACTTCACTCACTGTACTTTGGTCCCTTTACATAGTAAATATGTTTAAGATATAAGGTTCATTGAGGTCCAATAATGGCGTATTGGTTAATCCTTTAATATATTGTTGGTGTTGAGACTCGGACATCTAATCTGTCTCTATTCATCTTCTGGAATTATTTTTGAAAAGATTTATTTTTTGCACTTACAAATTCTTGCTCTTGTGCTTCCTGCAATGATTTTATTCCTCTCAGAAAGCTAGCTCCATTTGTCTTTTGATGGGTCATTTGATCATAAGTTATTTCCAAGACCAGCCAGTCCAGCTTTTGTCATCTAAAAATGCTGTATTGTCCTCAAAATGGCCAAGTATATCAGACATGTACATTTTCTGAGGTTCAATGATTTTCCTTGAATATATAAATTTTTCTTTTTCTTGAAATGAATGAATTTCGTTTGGAAATATGTCATTTAGCATAGATTTTATTTCACCATCAGAACCAATAGACTAGATGCGAGTAGAAATAATCTTTATTTACTTCATTAGATATTCAAAATTCAGTCAAAGTGATGTCATATTTGAATTCTACATGTAAAAGTACATGTAGAAATATGGTTTCGAAAATTGTTTATCAACTTTGAAAACTTTCTTTTTTTGAAAATGTGACTTCTAGTTCGGGTTGATTCCCCATAGACCCCATGTTACAAAATAACAAAAAGTGAAATATCTTTTCTTGTATTTGCCAAATATCATTTTCTTTTACTGGACATATTTTAATTTGCATAACTATTGGATACACAAGGGTTATATGAAAATTGAACCACTAAAATAGATGTAATTTAAGTTAAAGGGAACTTTCTCCTATACCCGCCATGCTATCTGACCCGAGCGAGCCACCTGGTGGTCAAACTGGTAACTACCTACTCGCATCTGCGTTATTGATACTAAGTTTGCCACCAAAAGGTGCTCTTAAAGTTTCTCCAGACGATGAGGCCTTGAAATACAGTATTATTGCCATGTTTAGTCTCAAAAAGTAGATTTTGTTGTTATGATATCAGTATTGCGTTTAACTTCCTATTATTGAAGGTAGTCAACCATCAGCACATGACACAAATGTCAACTCAGTAAGTAAACTCTGGTTACTGCATGGCTGTGGGTGAGAAATGACCACCTGGTTGAAATTCTTTAGATTTGCTTTTGATTCTAACATGATTTGATGATGGTTATCTTTTGTTGTAATATTTGTTATTGCTCCTTTAGTCTACCTGTCAGGCCATGGTACTTTTTTAAAGAATCTGCTTATTGTCTATCTCTGGGTAGACCACTTGATCCAAATTGGTCTCCCTGTCTTTTTGGAAACTACATGGATAGCTTGTTTAGGGGGCAAATTTTCCATTTAATTAAGAGATATTTTTGATTTTCTGTTTTGGAGAGGAGTATTGTCTTTTGGATAATTTTGAATTGCCATGTATAGTATGTTCTTTATTTGTTATTTATGTATATTGGATTATAAAACTGGCTTTGTATATATCCCCCTTATTGTCTGAAGTGTCCATTACTTTCATTCTTTTGTCAGTAGTGCTCAGAGTATAATTACTTTTATCTTTGTTATTAAAATCTTTATCAGTAATTCTTAAAGGCATGCTGAAGCTACTAAATACCATTCACTATTGTATACTTTATTCCATAATACTACTCTTTTTCCTATATACTGATAAAAATTGTATTGTCCCTCTTAAAATTGTATATACTCGAAAAATTGTATTGTCTCGGGAAAAAATAGTATTGTTCGCGGGGAAACTCTTACTGGGATCGTATTCAATCAGAAACCAATTTGGTGAAAATAAATTTCTGTATACAGGGTGTCAAATTAATATGTTCTCTCCCCTTATCTTTAACATAAAGATATGATATCCCACATGTCATATACCAAATTAACCCTCATTGAGGTGTTAGAGCACTTATCAAATTTGAATAATGAACATAACAGCATAAAATGTTACATCTGAAGCAAAAAATGAAGGTTTGCATTATAAACTTATGGATATTGGTACATTTTGCTACTTTTGATAACAATTAGTTCAAATAAAAAGTCACTAGTTCCAAATTTATCAATATATATTTTTAAGAGCTATATTTCAAGAATAAAACATATATACAATTATACATAGGCCTAGTTACATTTATTACTCTCTATTTCAGTTTTTTTTTCAAAATATGCATGTAAACTGCCAGTTTTGTCTCTATTAAAAATTTGAATTGCCCTCCTGACTATTAAAACTTCTTAATAATTTTTATACTTATTTATTCCTATAATTTGTTTAAATTTTTTTTTTCATATTCAAAAAAAAAAATTTCATTTTTCATCTCTCAGTTTTGTACACTCATAAAGATTATGGTCAATTACATTACAATTTTCACAAAATGAACTTTAGAATCTTTAATTCTAAAACAATTTAAAATCTCTTTACATGGATATATATTGTGTAATGTTTTCCAATGAATAATTAAGAGTTTTGCATCTACTTTGCACTTGAATGCTCTAAGCCAAGTTGCACATGAAATGTCCTTACCATTTATGTTTATGTGTTTATGTATCTTTTATTCCACCATAAATGATGAGTACAATGTTACGTAAAATTATTTAAGATATAATATTACATAAAGTTATTTAGGATATAAGATATAAAAATAGAGATATAAAGCTACCCTTAAATGTAGGGTCCACATACAACCGACTAAGATAAAGTCTAACATCCTTGTCCATGTCAAAACTTAAAGTGAGTCCAGACTTATGATTTGGTTCTTTATAAGTAAATTCATGTTACTTTTAAAAAAACTTTCCAATTTGTGACTCTGGATTTTCGAACACCCATTTACTTGATTATTACATCATACGATACATACATATTTAATACAATATTAGTTAAACAAAATATAGAGGTAGTTCTCATGATTCTTTATTAAACTCTGGTTGAGTTATAAGAATGCGTATACAATGAAATCACAGAATAGAATTGTCACAGGACCTTCTTGAACAGTAACAGACCCCTCATCATCAATCTTAAATCTGATATATCCGAAATGGATGACACCAGTTCATCTTGCAAACTATCCTCCATCGTGCCGATGTCATCACGGATACTGGATGCTCGAGATTGATCACTGCCATCCCTAGCTGCTACCTGTCCACCAACCCGCAACCTTAAACCAATCCCATTGACTCTCAATTTGAGCTTGAATACGACGACTGAAAATATACAAAACAACAATCATTAATAAAAATAGTTTTTACGAAAATTACAATTAGTTAGCCTATCATTGCCATATCTAAAAACTTTGATTGTTTTATACAAATCATCAGATACCAAACTTTTAATGGGTAGTGTAAGTTAAATATATCATACAATTGACTTTTATTAAAATAGATGTCGTACTCGTACAGATAACCTATTCCATTTGATGTACAGTACAACTTGTCTAATGTTTTGGATTTGCAAAATTCAGGATTCTGAAGAATTGTGAACACATTCTTGGTTAATATTTATAATTCTTTTCACCACATAGCTTTCTGGCATTCCAGAAATGTGAAAATACAATTCAAATGAATCTAGTCATACGGGTAAGCATACATTATGATTAAGGCCATTCGAGGTTTTTCTCAAAGTTTTGATATCATGAAAGTAT